AACTCCGATAGGCAGGCCCACTCCTCTCCAAGCGTTTTCCGGTTTCTAGGTCCTAATGGCTCAAACAACAACCGAAGCGTTGACTATATGCATTGAAAACTGCTTCACTTTAAGAAAGACACCTCCTGACCTGTAAATGGTGCTATTTTCACATTCGCTAAGCCGAAGCCCTTACTTATGCCTGTTACTCCCAACGGAGCATAAGCCAGTGACCAGTATTCTCCAACCCACTCTATCATGGGTCATCCTTTCCAGTTCTATCCAATTTCTGTTCATTTTTCTCATCTCTCCATGGTGGTCTAACATCAATCGGTTCAACATCTCAATCAATAAATTCTTATAAGTTAAGTAAATCTTACGATATGTATTTGTTTCATTATACAACAAAATAACCTGTAGCGTTTACTAGTCATGAGCAGTCAAATTCTTGAATTTGCTACCGACCGGGATAGTGCAGGTGAATTCCCAAGAGTTCTTTAAAAGTAAACGTGATGTATTCTTATGGACTCAGGACAGTATCTTGCCATAATTTACTTTTCTTATCATCGTGTAATATACTTGGGTTCTTACATGGAACCATAGGTCATCCACTGCCACTAGACAGGGAAGCCTGTTAAACGAAAGCCTTTTCTATTTCGTCTGGTACTATTTGAAGCATGGAATGGTCTATCAGAACGATTAGTATCTGTCACATCAATGAACGCTCTCATATAGAAAATGAATCTTCAGCGGAAAAGACTAGTAATCAACAGAGGCTAATCGTCCTACTAATCTTATGACTGAGGGCCAAAAACACAATTTTTTGAACCATTTGGATTATTTCTTAGGCAGTTGGTAGCGGCCATTTTTAATTTCGCGCTACTCAGAAGTACCCTTGAGATCTAAATTACTTGTATCTTCGGTTGCTTGAGGTAATGTTTTTAATTCTACAAAATAAGAAAAACGGTTTCACCAGTTATGGTTTTTTGCACAAACGAAGTCATTCTTATGGACATTACTTACAAATCTCGAATTTCGTCTAACGTATGTTATATATATATATATATATATATATATATATATATATATATATATATATATTAGGTCTATATATTCAAACCTAATAGTACACTCTTAGCCAGAATCCTCTAGTTGTTCCCAAATTTATACGGATGCATCGTAAATTAATTAATTTACGATTCGCAAATATGTTCGGTGAATAATGTTATTGTAACATGTGATTCTGTGGGAATTCTCATTGGTATCAATCCCACCTTTGTACCTATATATAAGCAACCACTTGATTGCCTGTACATGCCAGCCGTACAGCCTGTTTAATAGTAAAGCAAGCCAGACTAAAACTTCGTCTCCTTCCTCATCTACGTGAACCCTTCATTTAAACTATCAAAGTTGCTCATACACCCCAGCATTGGAAATGTCTGGTTTACAATTCACCCAAGTTCAGTTTAATAGCATCCTGCATACCTGTTAGAGATATGCTGCCCTACTTTACTCTAACCAAAAATTACAGGCCCAATAAGCTAGATTATTATATTACTAAGTAGTTTTTGTAGTTTGACATTCTAGAATTCTGTTGACATAAACCCAGACTTTTTATCCATTAAACCTCGAGAAAAACATTTTCGTGCTTTAGACATTAGCACCAAGAATAGGTATCTGGTATTTTGTAATACACTTTCCACTGCCTTCTCCATCGTTATAGAAAACCTATAGATTGTAAAAATTCACCCCTCTTAGCTCCAATTAATTTCATGCGTTTGTAGCATATGATAATCCACCACTGCATATGTTGTTAGTCAGTCATATACACCGTATAAAATAGCACATTTCTATCAGTTTAAGTATTTACACAACATTATCGTATTGAGGCGAAATTATCAGAGCGAATCCCATAAGAGTAGTAATAAAATAAACTAAGTATGGAAAAAGAGACAAGGGAATTTTGGGACTCAGGATCTATGAAAATATGGAGGGTAGACCCACCTGTACTACTCCAAACGATTCTGACATGTTTCACCCAAAATATCTAACCGCCAGATACGGTTATCGCGCAGACCCCAACCATGTAGTTTCTAATTACCTACATGGTTCAGTCTTTTATTTTATTATTTATTTGAACACATAAATATTGGTACAAGAGAGCGCCAATATATATGCGCCACACAAAACAATGGGAATTCGAAGAGAAGTAGAAAGAGAAAAAAAAACTAAGGAATGCAAAAGAAAAAGAGAACAATGACGAAGAGATTGGAGTAAGGTAGTGTGGTAGTAACGACGGAACGAAAAGGTACAATCAGAAGAAATCTTTCAGTTAGGGAAGACACAACCACTTTTTATGAAGAAAGTAAAAGAAGGTTACAGCAGGATCGCCACTGGCTTCTATTCTGAGCCATATCTGATAACGTCTCTAGCCACTGTGTAGCACCATCTCTCGGACCCCAACCAGGGAGTCGTGAAGGACCAACACAAGCCAGTCCTTTGCAGCTTTCTTTCATGCCACGACACCATGTCATGCACTGACCACCTCTCCGCTTCTTCCAACCAGTCCCAGAGTCGGCAAATAATGCACGACGTGGAATTCTCTGGGTCGACGCCATGTTTTATTCCCTAGCTTTCATTCAACCTGACGATACGCTAGATAACATTTCACGTCAAGGTATCCGAAGTCGAGCTCACGTAATACATGTCTCAACTACTTCAATTGGTGAGGATTCACCACTTCATCAACGGATCTACTATCTTTACCTAATAGCTTATACCTAACCTCAGCACTACCCACCTAATTGTCTCAAAATACGTAAACAATGCTTTAAAAAATACCTAAATCAAATACTAGTAACCTAAGGATATATTTCCTTAATTCTCACCTTCCACACAAAGCAAACTGCTTCCCAATAAACTCGTCCTTCGGTTGGTCGTTTACGCCACAAGTGATGCAAGTCAATAAAAGTAAACCGGACTTTATAAATCTTTGTTGAGATTTTATCAGACATCAAGTAAATCGATGTGCTCAGTCGCTTCAAACCCGATCATCAATCGTAGTGTTGACGTAAACCAGTCCTTAAGCGACCCCACGAATTACTGTCGCTGGCAGTAGGGCCTTCAAAGTACAGAACTAACTATTCCCAAACTACTTATAAAAGGGTGTATGTGATCGGCTTCAGTCGGTTGAACTGTGGCCTCTGGAGTTAGGCTCTCAAGTAGCTAAAACCATTACGAACCTTCTTCAAGTTCTTCGAGAAGTACCCTTTCACGGTGTAGGAAGCTGTGGAGTGACAGTCGTTCTCATACCTCTAGCAGAACCAGAAACCACCTTGTTCACATGATGTTAGAATTATTATATAGTCCTAAATATTTTGGTTGCTGCCTCTTTGGAAAAAGATATTTATGATGTTTGTTTGTAAACTCTGGAATCAGTAATACGAATATGTGCGAATTCTTCCGTGGCTTGCTTTCGAATAAAAGACCTATTAGTGATTACACCAGAACAATTACAGGAAACAAAATGAATTAGTATATTAAACACATCCTTACCACTTAATATGATTTTAGGCCATCTCACTTAGCTTTTCCCACTATATATTTCTCCAATCCTCCTAACCACTTAAGAAGCCTACAGTTGGTCGCGTTGTTCAAGCCAACCGCCTAGTTTTTATATAATGAATATTTAATTGCCTCTTCCTTGACTGTTAATATATGTGTAGATTTAGTTCTCTTTGGGATACGTTAGTTCATCCTTTATGACATTCTGTGGTGTTTCACTTCAGTTAACATGGCACCATACAGGTAGTGGTCACATATTTACAAGTAACTTTAATTCGAAATCTTACTAAATTATATGCATAAACTCAACATTATACAGTTTCTGCTACTCAATACAGTGATCGATATTGATGATTCCAAGTCTATACTGTAATTGCAAACACTGACGTTCTGTATAAATCTCTTTATTACTACGGTTTTTGTGTGTAGTAGTTTACCTTAGCTATACAACAGTATGATGAACTGAAACTATATGACAGTCCCTATCTGTACACTTTCCGTATGGTCACATCGGATAATGGGACCGAATAAGTAAAATAAACACTACACATCAACTGTTTAATTCCTCTGTTGCCACCTGTAAAATGAGAATTTTTAACTGTTGTTTCTACCGAAAATTGCAATATTAAAATTGGCGATTAATATTTGAGTGTATCAAGTTGTATCGCTAAATTCCAGAAAACATTTGCATTCGAAAAAATTTTTAGGTGCACTATATTAGTTTGCAGAACTAAGTGTATTCAGGTTGATGCTACTACTCGGTTGCCTAAACTGAAGTAGATGCTGCGACCCAATCATTAAAGGCCAAGTGCCGTAACGACTAAACCACCGTTTTATTCATCGTGATATAATTAACTGTTTGTATGGGGTGATGGTGGTTTATCAGCTATTGAGTCTATGTTCTTGCTTCACCTATTGAAACACACAATATCACCGAAAGTAGGATCAGCAATCGATCTTTCGCAGTAACACTTCGATATTTAATGTTTCCAACTTACTACTCGTTTTTTTTCGAAAATGTCAAGTCTAACCTCCTAGCCGTCTAATTTAGTAATGACACTACCTTTAAAATTGCCACATAACAACACGAGCCTCCTTTAATCACATTAATTTTGGGTAATTGCCTTTAGCCATAGTTGGCTTAAAAATTGGCAAAATGTCCATCAGTTCGAATTGTCACGCCACTATACCACGAAGAAGTGATGATTTTTGATCACATGAAAATTTGCACCTCAATTATTTAAATTTATCATAAAATTACATTACATTTGTTTTCTAGGGATTTCATGTTTCTCTGTCAAAGAATGTTTAAATTTAAGACGAAGTCATGGTTGGTGATCCAAAGATAAGCAGTTGGTTTTAAAAGCTGTTCTTTTCCGGACAGGTTCTTTAAATCTGTTGAAGATTTCATCACTGTCCTCTTAAAGTAAAAGCGCTCACTCGTGTTTACTTTACCCATGACTTGGCATGATGTTATAACTGTGGGCACCAAATACCTTCGAAGATTACATAGACTGCCTGTGATATTACTTAAACAACCCAGATCATTCCTGGTAATTGAACATTTTGATACATAAATTCCCCCTAGCTTCCAAGATACTTTGTACCATATCCTCGTATCTGTTCAAATTTCGGACGATTAACCAAATATATTGGCAATCATTCACAAGCCAACTCATTGGTTAGAGCAGTATATAGAAAGATTATTAGTAGTAGTACTCAACAACGACCAAACTCATTACTAAGAGTATATAGAGGTTTCGCTGGATCCGTTCAATTGAGGCATTACGTGTCTAACAGACATGAGTAAGTATACTTACTGCTAAGAATGTATTCATCATAAAGTAAGAAGCATGGTTTCTTCTCATTCATTGTTTTTGTATTAAATTTATTACATTCCATATCAATGTTATATTACATTGTGATTATCTGATTACTTTGGTGCGTACGAAGTTTGTTGATGTAAAATAGTTCTCCATACTTTGCTTTTGGTTACATTTGGATCAAAAATGACTAGTTAGGATGGTTTGTAATAATATATTAGTAAATTGCCGGAATTCGTCACACTTCAATGCGAAGAAGGAAACACTAGTACTGGTGTAATAAAAGTCATAAAACTACATAAAGGAAGGATTAGAGAAAAAATGGACGTAACTTTGCATGTCAATTATTCATACTAAATCCGTCTACGTCATCTTTGTGTTGCTAACCAGGTAGTACAAGTCTCTATACTAGTATTTTGATCACACTGCAAGGCTTAGTGATACCTCTCTTCTTAAACCGTAGCTGAAGCGAGATCTAAACGTGTTACCTATTTATCTGAAGCCAAGTGCTTTGACTGCCAGATCATCACCAACGACCTATGCTATATATCGAATATTGATCAAGAAATTGTATTTTCGTTTACAGCTCGAATCGGCATTCATTGATACCATAGAATTTAGATGGTGTTTTGATATAACTCATGTGTCATTGAATGACATTACTAGATCTCACACAAATCTGTGACTCAAAGCTGAGTAAAGTATCATATTCTTGATAAAGAAGAGTTAAATATTGGATATTTAAATGTCTATAAAAGGGAGTTATTTCCGAGTCATTTTGTTGGAATTTGGTTGTTGGTTTATTTTATTTTAACACAGATAGTGGTACAAGGAGGCACCAAATACATATGTGCCACACAGATCTCATTTGATATGTGTGAGTGCTGTGATACTGTCCGGGTGCCCAGACCGAAGCAGGTGGTTTTCTTAGGTGGACACACCCCGAGCCTTTAACCTAAAGGTCTGACCCACAAGGCAATGGATCATCGTGAGGAGATGCAGCCCCATGGTAGCCAGTGACCAACGATTGGTTCATACGCCATTTGTTCCCGCAGGATACTGGAGCCCATGTGCACCATTGGTTTGGAATCCGGTTCAAGCGCCGAACATTCGCTTTTCGTCCTCTCATTTTCGTAAACAACAGTAATGCCACGAGAAGGCAGTGAGTAGGACTTCCCTGACAGAGGCTATATACTCGTGGCCGTGTGAGAGTATTTCGAGAGAGCGAGCGGACTCTTCCCACTCGGCCGTACCAGGGCATTTGGGGGTATAATGTAAACATCCCTCGTTGTCATTCATAGTTATAGATAATCTTATAGGTAATTTTTAATGACTTAGTATAGCAAGCACTTTACTTAGTTGGAACAACTACCTGCTTAGAATAGTAATGGTGTCATTTTTGAAGTTGTCATCTAATGAATGACTTTCAAAATGTTACTTTTACACATTATTGGTAGATAATTATTTCCCTGATGTGCGTGAACGGTCAACCAAGCAATAAATTTCAACTTGCTTATTAAATAATGAAATGTCCTTGCGTAACCTAAAAAAAATACTAAATACGATCTTAAAATGAGTGACAGTCCTATAATATGAAATCTTAAGTCCTCATGGATTGGTAACTTCGTGGTTAAAGCACTGTGCTTCCAGTCAATAGATCTGACTTTTGAATCTCACTCCATCAACTTCCGTCCTCTCAATCGGTTAGTATCACTCGTCCTAAAATATGGTTAATGTACTTGGTAAACGAGTTACATTAACCTTTGATTACTTATTTCCCAGTTTGTAATAAATTATGTTTGTAAACTAATAAAGTGTTTAAAACCAATTTCCAGTTATAGTATATGCCTCTTATTCTTCTCTATTTAAAAATTCGTTTGAACGATCTTTTAGTTATTCTTTTCACCCGATCAACAAGATTTGTAAACCAAAACATGAATCTTGGTTTTCAAGTATCTTTGGCACAAACAAATATCAAATATTGCCTAATTTGTGTACAAGTTCCGCGGACTCAATAAACCCGAAAGAGTTTATAGCGGCAGGATGTAACAGTGCTGTATGGGCAGCTGAAGTTCGTCAACAATATCCAAATGATAATGGTAATTGAAAATTCGATTATATATAAAGCGTTAAAAGTTTGTGGAAATTGTTCAGTTTGAAGATAGTTTCCGTTACGTGCTGATATTTTAGATAAATAACTTAGAAATCAGGTAACACTGAACAGTAGTTTTGTTTTAGTATATGATTGTACAAGAACGTGTTTTCAGGACCCCATCAAAAATCAAACCCAGGGTTTTCAGGCATCATACCAAACACGTTATTGTTATCTCACTAAGTTGGTTTTAATGATACACATCCCCACCTCTAGTCATTTCTCAATATTGCTCTACCATCATCTACATCCGTTAGTATGAGCTATTTCAAGCCCGACCTGGTTGATCTCTTTTGATCATGGCTTCTCACCAAAACTTCGGGATCCTTCTTCGATATCAGTCACTAGTAAACAATTGGTTATTACTATTATTATTATCATCACTATTATTATAGGAAGTTTGTGGAATATTCTTATCTGAAAATAATTTACAGCAGCGACTAATCCGACAAGGTTGTAGGTGAGCAGTGTTGAAAAGTCCTACATAAAGAGTGAACCAATATCCCCCAGTTTTCGATAGCTGACTAGATAAGGTCACTCTGTGATGTAAAATATTTATTTATTTATTTGAATACATAAATAATGGTACAAAGGGGCATCGAATACATATGCATTACACAAGTCACTTGATTTATGTTTGGGCTGTGATACCGCCCAGGTGCCCAGACCGAAGCAGGTGGTTTTATTAGGGGTCACTCCCCAAGCTTTCCACCAATGTCTCCTAGTTTTCTACAACTGACTAGATAAGGTCACTCCGTGATGTAAAATATACCCAGTTATTTTAAGAATAAGAGTTTTTTGGTGATTGTCAAGTCTTAACTATGAGCCGACTTGACAGATAAAGGTCAGTTACTGACATTATCTTCTACCTATCATAGTGAATAGTTTGAGCCTTGAGAAAAAGTAAATTTCCTTCATTGTGATTTTATTACAATATAGTGGCAGGTTGGCGAACATATAATCTTGGATACTTGCATGAGATTTAGCTGGCACTAGTTCATATTGTTTCATGACATCGCAAAAAAGTGAGCTAGAAAACATCCATGTGTTGCTAGTATTTAATGTCTTTAGACCATTACTTACGAACCGTGGCATACTTAGATGATTAATTTTGAAGTTTAATATTGAGTAGTTAGATTAATCATCCAAAATCAGTCAATAAAGCCATGGATTCTCATCACCTAAAGTGAACAGGACATTAGTTTTGCATGCTCAACCACTGCCTACCTCAATCCTCAATTTTGACTGAATCAAGAATGGATTGGAACGAAGCTAAGGGTGACCAAATGAAGAAATCAAGTCAATAACTAATGTTATGAATCATATTGGTAGCCGGAGACTACGTGTTTGGAGCTTGCACAATAACTGTAACCACTGATTGATAACGTTTTAGTGTTTTTTCTGCAAGTTAGTTTTCTACGGGATGGGGTCGCTAATCCCATGCCCAACCCTCCTCCTTTATCCGGACATGGGGCCTGAAGTAGCCCTAGAGGGGCTCTACACCAAATCGCAACACTACGGATCATTGTGGAACAATCAATTGAATAGAATTCATCACTCTACATCAACTTCATTGACCACGAAAAAGCGTTTGGTAGCGTGGACAGGACAACACTATAGAAGCTTCTTCGACACTACGGCGTGCCTGAGAAGATTGTCAGTATCATACGAAATTCCTATGATGCGTTAAACTGCCAAATCGTGCATTGAGGACAATTGACAGACTCATTCGAGGTAAAGACCGTTGTCAGGCAAGGTTGCTTACTCTCACCCTTTCTCTTTCTCTTGGTGATCGACTGGATCATGAAGACGTCGATATCTGAGGGGAAGCATAGTATGCAGTGGACATCTAGGATGCAGCTTGACGATCTAGACTTCGTAGATGATCTGGCTCTTCTATCGCACACGCAACAGCAAATGCGGGAGAACATGACCAGTGTAGCAACAGTCTCAACAGCAGTAGGTCTCAACATACATAAAGGGAAAGCAAGATTCTCCGATACAGCACAGCATACACCAATCCAGTCACAATTGACGGAGAAGATTTGAAGGATGTAAAAACCTTTACATATCTGGGCAGCATCATTGATGAACATGGTGGATGTGATACAGATGTGAGGGAGCGGATCGGCAAAGCAAAAGCAGCATATTTACAACTGAAGAACATCTGAAACTCGAAACAACTGTCCACCAACACCAAAGTCAGAATTTTCAATACCAATGCCAAGACAGTTCTACTGTATGGGGTGGAAACCCAAAGAACTACGAAAGCCATCATCCAGAAGATACAAATGTTTATTAACATTTGTTTACGCAAAATACTTCGGATCCGTTGGCCAGACACTATTAGCAACAACCTACTATGGGAGAGAACAAACCAGATCCCAGCGGAGGAAGAAATCAGGAAGAATCGTTGGAAGTGGATAGGACACATATTGAGGAAAGAACCCAACTGCGTCACAAGGCAAGCCCTCACATGGAATCCTCAAGGTCAAATGAGAAGAGGAAGACTAAAGGACACATTGTGCCGAGAAATGGAGGCAGACATGAGAAAAATGAACAGAAATTGGATAGAACTGGAAAGGATGACCCATGATAGAGTGGGTTGGAGAATACTGGTCAGTGGCTTATGCTCCATTGGGAGTAACAGGCGTAAGTAAGTAGTCAGTATGTACTGATTGATGACAGCTCAAAATTGTGCGAATCCATTCATGTTTTCAACCTATATTTTTATTCTTATCACCTATTTGTTGTTGCCTTATTTCATTTCTGCTTTCTGATTCACCTTCCTTGTATCAAGTCCTTTATATTATGATTGATAATACTATTATTTCGACCCCTTAGATAATTTGTATTGTTAGTGTAACCTTAGATCGACGATGTGTTCTGACAATATAGGACAATACATCTTTATGCCGTGTTCTACATTGACTGACTGACTCACTGAAATATCATTAAAATTTCTATATTTAAATGTTTTCTATAGATCAAGCATCTATCTAGTATCTTTCAACACTAGTAATTTATTTACCAAGCTCATATATTTTCCTTAACCAGTTTTATTAATATTTTTCTTTATTAATTTGCAATTTAACATAGAATTCATTGATAAATTAGCTGTGAAAGTACTGTATAACTATTACGCGAATTCATCTTATGATGAACAAGCTAATTTAAACAATGATTATAATTCATTACAAAATATTCCTGATAATTGGGTATTATTACATCGTCAAATTCAAAGAGAATGTGAACTTCGTCCTCAAACTAATCATCCTAATATTGTTCCATTAGTTGGACATTTTATTGATCGTGCACCTCAAGTCAATTCAGTAAATAATTCACATCTTCATAATGATAATTATAATGAATCTAATAATGATTTATCTTCTGGTCAATTTAACCATAGAACTATTCAATCAAAATGTTGGCCTGGTATAGAATACTTTTCAGAAGGCTTCGACAATCGACCGTATACATTCTACATGTTGATGCCAAGGTAAGTATTTATCTCTTTATTCTTAATACTATTATTTGATATATATTAGATAGTTGCAGTTCGTTATAAACGACCTAATATATATCATAGATATGAGCATCGGCCAAATTTTGCCACGTTTCATATTCACACAGCAAGAAAATAAATTTACAGAATAGAAATCTAAGGAGTGGTAACAAAAGTCGTATCAACATTTATGAGAACTAATGATATGGAATGTAGCTCAAGAAAGTGGATGACGTTGGGAATTATGAGATAATTAAAAATCTTAAGAGGTGGGCATATAATGAATGTATCTTCACCACTACGATGAAATTTTTAGTTATGTTACCCAACGTCTCTAACCACTGTTTGTGATCGTTTCCCAAAACACAAAATAAAATCCTCCACCTCCCAACATGACTTAAACCAACAATCACTTCATCGAATCATACCACTTCTTAGTTTTTCATATTTTAGCACTGTTCCAACCTTCTGAAGTTGCATATCAAGATATATGATGGTTGGGTATGTTTAATATGTGTCTTAGTCACCTCAGTCGATAAAACTAACACAAAAACTACTCACATAAAGATCGTATGTGATTTGCTTCATCTATTTGTCTCTCAATCTCTGTAGCCATGCTCTCATGTCAATAAAACTATCAACACTAATTAAGTTTCTTTTTTTTGTCAAGCTTCATAGCAATAAATATCTTTCCTACATTATAACAACTAGGGAAAGTTGACCACTATCATGTTTTTATCTATACAAGTTCAATTTTATATTGTTTAAACATAAGAAAGATACCTAACAGCTTTTTTTCTGATGTGGAGAAGTTGGCGAAGTGATTTTTACAAAACTAACCTTCAGAATATTGGTTAGATGATAATACTTTATTATTCGTTGAAAGACCTACCTATCTTGTCCCATTTCTATGTGTACAACAAAAAAATTGACAGCATGAGGTTATGGAGATTGTTGAGTTCATTGAAATCATGTACCGATCTAAGTTGCGCCACCATTGAAAACCTGAAAGCACTGAACGGCCGTTTCGTCCTAGTATAAGACTCCCCAGCAGAGCGAATCCACAACCCCGTGCGCGAAAATCAAACCCAAGACTTTCGATCTCGCACACGAACGCTTATCTTTTAGGACACTGAGCAGAGGTATCTAACGGTGTTATTGTCTAACCTCAATCAATCCACGATATTCCACGACCATCCTTCATTATCTCCGGTTGAATTAAATTCAAACAATTTGTTGTTAGTTAAACCATATTGATCATTTTGTATACTTTCAGTGATTCCAATCTAACCTTTGAATTATTTCTGTTTTAAAGATTTGAAGCAACTTTGGATGATCTCTTACGAGGAAATTTAAAATGTAAGTTCGAACAATCACCAGCTGAAATAAATCACGAAGGTATTATTAAATCTAAGCAAACTCAGAGTGATAATACTAATCTTGCACATATTAATCAATATCAAGAAACAAATGTTTCTAATACTTTCACACCATCTTTTCAATTACATACTGATTTACATTACTTGTTTAATTCAAGCCTATTGAATTCTGCATATATTAAACATGGTGAAATGTATCTTCCTGTAGAAGAAATTGTAGCTATAATTGCTCAATTATTTGAAGCAGTTGCTGAACTTGAAGCGCATGGTATTGCTCATAGAGATATCAAACCAAATAATATACTTATACGTCGACGTGTTCCATTTTTTAATACTAATCAAACATCTGATATAAACAATGCTACTTATAATACTTTTGTTCAGTTCCATCTAAATTGGTTAAATGGTAAGTATAATCTATTGTGTCCCTTATTATTGTACCATCAATATTACTAAATATTTTAGATTCATTTAGTTGTCTAATTTCATTTCATTAAGATCAAAAGGTGAAAATATGTAATTAAAAAAAAACTTGATTTCCAAAGTTTGTTCTTGTACTACTGGTGACAAAGCGTTCATAAAGTGACTTGGAAATGGTAAAAATGTTTTGGAAGTATATTAAGATGAATATTAGGTTTTAGTGTTTAGCTAACGAGACTAGCATGAAACACTAATTGCTTCCTAGATTAGTCTTCAAAAAAACCCTAACTAGATATTTGTCCTGTGTTGCGTCAAGCAATTACCAATTATGATCTCAGTGATCTAGAAGATTAGCGTTCGCTCACAAACCGATGGTCTTGGGTTTTGTTATATTCGGATGAGAATAATGAATGGTAACTTTTAGGATCTATTTATGAACTAATCATATACATCTATTTTGATTGTATAATTGTCAAGTAACTAAACTATTCATATTCATGTCCCTCTTATTATAAGCTTTATTTTGACCTATGATCTTGTAGCAGCTGTGCTTCGTTGATCAATCACCCTCGTAACCGTTATCATATAATCCTCAACGGTGTTTGAAATCAGAAGGCAAAGAGAAGCAGCGACTACAGTTTTATTAGTTTTATTACTCAGACCACAAAGCAGTGATGCAAATGAATGAGTCAGTGAACCGAGAGTGTATTGTTAAATGTACATGTATATATATAGGGAAATGAATGGATCATCGAATGAATTAAGCAGTTAATAATAAAGTTAGCGGAATAAATATATGCGTAGGCTGTAAGCAATGTTCAAACATACATATTTCATACAAGCACAAGAATAATAAAGGTACAATAAGTTACTATAGTACGGATGACTTTGTCCGCTAAATTAGTTAACAAAAGGGCTTGACCGAATTAAATGAGAACAAACTCAACTGCACGTGAGCTGCTATAACCTATTATTATACTATTTACCATTCATGAGTTATGCCCTGTCTATTAATTACTACCTCCCTCATTCACAGCCACATTTGGCTAAATCTTGTACAAATGTGTTGGTTCCTGTTTTATCATACGATGTGGTCTGTTTGGTTGGTATATAAACCCCGTATGTTTGAAGTAAATGATTCATATTGCAGAGGCTAAGATTGGTGTTGTGGTCTTAACTGGTGGCTGGGCTAGGCAGGAAACAGGATCGATAAAGACTCCAGGCTGTTTGGTCCAGTCATTAATTCACTGCGCTCTTAATTGGCGGCCACAAGTTATAACAAGTTCGAACCTCAGCGACGGTGTTATACGTGTATACTTTTGAGAAGTCCTTTTACCCAGTACTTCTAGGTTTTAAGTGTTAATCTAAGATCAGTTCGTGATTGGAATGATAAAAATCATAGATCTTGGATTTTTTTTCCGCTAAACATTAATTTATCTCTATTTGTATTGGTTGTTAGTACTCAATAGTTTTTTTTCTTTTCATTTCATTTAGACAAAAGATTACAAATGATTAATTCACATTTTCATGTTGCATTAACTGATTTCGGATGTGCTATTCGAACTGGACATCATCATATTAATGATAATAATAATAATAATAATAATAATAATAATAGTAATATAGAAGAAGAGTATCTTAATCATAGTGGGAATTTGGCATTATTAGCTCCAGAAATAGCACAGATCATTTATTCACTTAAAGATAATTCAAACAATTTACACAATATTATAACTAATAAAGATTATAAACATTCAGATTTATGGGCTATTGCTACATTAATTTATCCTTTGTTTGGAATACCTAATCCATTTATTGATGGAGTAAGTCATTTAAACAAGTTCAACTTATAAAATACATGATCTGACGGAAATATAATACACTATGGTAGAACAAATCTACTACACAAACCTGTTTGCATTATTGTGTAATAACTCATAGTTAGTTCAAAAATACCAATAAATTGTTTCGATAATTCAGTTAAGTAGTCTGCAAACATAGTGGAATAGGTTTTATGATATATGAAACTAAGAAGGAATACTCGCTCAATGAAAACTTCCAAATCAGTTAAGACCAAGAAGATAGCTTAGGTCACTGTCTATGGTGTAGAATGTTCCAGTGAAAATAATGTCTTAAAACGATATACTGGATTAGAATTGTTCTACCGCTTACTGCCTTCTGTTTAGTAACTCCTACCATTTGTTCCTCCAGTAAAATCTAATTATTATGCGATATGGTTATTATACCCAGTTCTATATCTAGCCAGTAAGCGTACAGGTTAGTCACTACTTCTGTTTTGCAGTCTATAGCCATATCGATTCACGGTTATTATAGCATAACTAGTAAACCCCTTAAAACGAAACCATAATACTGAATGATATTACAAATGATGATCAATGATTAGTAGTAAACTTACAGCATAAAATCATTTTCATTGGGATTTTTTGCGTCATCTAATCCTCGTCCTCGGTTTCGATTGATTGTACAATCTCCATTTAGCAGATATTCCTTTAAGTTCGATATATAATCAGAAATACCCCACTATGTTTACAGATTACTAATCCGAACTAGTGAGTCAATATGTTGTGCTTTTGAACCGGATCTGGGTCATTTCAAAACTATATGAACAGCGTTGCGACGAAAGCCTAACCCTTTCTCAGTTTTCTGATTCGAGAGATATGTTTCCTATGCATTCCTGGCAAAAGTTGATAAGAAGTTCACACAGTTATTGCAGTGGGGCGTTATCATATAAGTCACTATAACCTGAGGCTCTCCTAGTATCCTTACAAGAACTTACTGATTTCTCAATGAGTGTCAATCCAGCTTTTCAACAACATCTTTATCCTCTCCTAGTACCGGACTACCCATTTACTATTCTCAGTGGTAAGCGTTTTTTCGCGCAATAATACTTGCTGGCAAAAGGGGACATATTTTAGCAAAATACCATCAACCATAAAACAAAATAGGTTTAACAAATTGAGATTTCTTGCATTATAGTAGAGAATACTTGATTGTCTTTCCTGATGTTATTATTGGTAGATTGAGAATGGGTAAGAGTTTTGTGTCGTCAGTCGAACGTTAGTATACAAAGCATATGAATTATCGAGATTATCGTTATCGATATAGCTGGAATCACAACAAATTGGAGACAGCTATCCAGTTAAACTCTTATCATTTTACCAGATACAATTATTAATGAAGCAATAAAAGAGCTCATTTAAAGAAGCTGAGGAACGTGTCATCGAAATATTAGCTGAAAATAATCGATTCACTCCCTATATGTGTTGTTATATATTTGATATCTGGTTAACCTCTCCATCAAAAAGAAATTCCAGAATTGAACTAAGAGAGAAGATTCAATGCCCAATTGTTCTGGCATACATATGAACTGAAATATTTAAATTATACTTAGCATAGAAACCATTGTTTGGTATCTTTTGAAATTTCAGATTTTCACTCACTTTAATTTATCACTATTTTATCAGATGATTTATTTATTCCCACTGTTTCTCAAGACATTTTCTTCAGTAAACTATACGGAGGATTCTTTGCCTGAACTTCCTCATGAAGCACCAAAAATAATGACATGGATTTTACATCAATGTCTTAAACGTAATCCATCAGAAAGACCTAATGCTGATGAAATTGCAGATATTTTGCATACTTGGTGTCTTATTCGACATTTTCACAGTAGACAAGAAGTTGATATTTTAAAAGATTTTTCGCAATATCCAATGAATTCTGCAACCATAAATGTAAGTTTTTAAAAAAATTTCTAGCAATCATCAGTATGATGAATTTTAATAGTTGAATTCATGAGTCGAATAAAGCTAGACCACCATTAAAAACCTGAAAGCACTGGACGGCCGTTTCATCCAAGTATGGGACTCCTCAGCAATATGCATCCACGATCCCCGCACGCGGAACTCGAGTCCAGAACCTGTCTCGCGCATGAACGCTTAAAGTCTCGACCATTGAGCCGGCATCTAACGGTCTAGCTTCAGTCAGTAACAACGTAGGACCAGGCATATATATGCACCGGTCCAAGTTACCATACCTCATTAACACAACAAGATGGACACCGGATTCGTAAAAGTAGTTAATTCAGTTGTGGTAATATATAAAAGAAAGATTGCATACAGGGATATAGTACAGGAAGAAAGATTTAGTACGTAGAAAGATATACAATAATTTTAATCTCATAGTTTAAGGGAGGACAGAGAGTGTATATACACCTACACCATTATGATCGATTCTGAGCCATATCACTCAGAGTCCCCAACCATTGGTTACGATAGTCACGCGGACCCCAACCAAGTAGTTTGCATCTACCAACATGACTCAGACTAGAAGTTAGTGACTTCAAGCACTGATGCCACGTTTTGGTTTGGCCACCCCTAACTTTCTTCCAACCATCTCCAACACCGGTTAGCATTGCACGTCGTGGTAGTCGGTGTTCAGGCATACGTACCACGTGGCCCAACCATCTCAGTCGATGAAGATTCACAAAAACTGTCTAGTTTAGATCGACTTATGAATTCAACTATTAAAATTACTACAATCTCCACAAATCCCCATTCTGATAATATAATTAATGTTAAGTACAGATGAATAAGTAGAAAATGGGGAGTTTTGAAGTACTAATCGACATCCGATCATATATTTGTAGTTCATACAATTACTTCCGGTGATGCATTATATTCCGTAAACCAGTTGATTTGATTGGGAGGTGTTCATTGTTGTCATACTCTATACCAATATAATCCGATTAATCCATATGTGCGTTTCTTGTTTGAAAATATTATCATTCTTTTAATTGACTTTTAGATTGATTCTTTGACTGCAGAATTTAAAAACTCAATAAAATCCCATAAAATACAAAGTAATAAGCTCATCAACCGTTTATGTGATCTCCTAAATGTATGTTGGGCAGGTGATTGGTTATCTGGAGCCGCTCGCCCTCCAAATGGTATACGCTCTTTGTTTTATTCACGAGCTACTCCTGGACGTTTGGCGCTTTGTTTAAATATCGTATATCAATTGGAGTGTTTCGGTGTCCAACATGTGTTGAATTCCTCTCCTAACTACCAATATTAGTAGTCTGACATCTCGAAAATTAATTTTAAAAACCCAGATCACGTATTTTTTATGCTTATTTATTCGTTACTTTCTTCATAATCTCTAATTTTATCGTTTTTTCATTTACGCTCATCATATTCTTACAGATTGTTTACATATAGTGTCATCCTCTCTTGCTCATAAAAGTATATTGAATAATTCTGCCTTGTTCTGTCTTACATTTACTTTTAGAAAATAATCTGTTGTTGTATTTTGGTCACGTCTTTAGTAGATCTCTTTCGCAAATTGATATCCGTTCTAGTTGTCTCGAAAATTACATCCAGTTTATTCATTACAACATTTTATTCTTATAGCTCGACGTAAATCAGCATGATGAAGTGTATGGTGAGAACTAGCTATCAATCAATATAATTTATCAAAGTGACAATACTCACTTAAAGCTATTGACTTGTATTCAAATGATATTTCTTGATCTGGACACTTACATTTGCATCAACTATCTAGTCAGTCAGTCAGCTACAACGTAGGACCAGGCACATATATGCATCGATCCAAGTTGCCATACCTCATTAACGCAACAAGATGGACACCGGATTCATAAAAGTAGTTAATTCAGTTGTGGTAATATATAAAAGAAAGATTGCAATAATGATATAGTACAGGAAGAAAGATTTAGCATGTAGATAGAAAGATATAAAATAATTCTAGTCTCATACTTTAAGGGAGGACAGAGAGTGTATCCAGGGCGGCCTACTTGAGCATCTGGGCTACCTGTTCCTGCCATCTAGATATTTCAACAAGTTATCTATTGTTGTTTGTTTTAATATATCATTATGTTTATTAATCGCATAAACTATTCTGCTGCGTTTCTGAAAAGTGTACAACCTTTCGTTGTCAAAGTTACAGAAAACTCAATAAGAGACAATATGGTTGCTGGCAATGTACAACGAAAAGAATGTACATTATTCAGTTGTTCATTCACTGAAGTGCTAACATCTAACTGGCGATTCCTCAATATTTATCGCCAGGACCGACCAAGAAGAAAGAAACGGAAACTTGTTGAAATACTTTGCGCTGAGAATCCTATATTGTACCGAAATTATAATATTGAATAAAGCTAGTAATAATAATATACAGCGACGCCATTGTGATCGATTCTGAGCCATGTCATCAAGAGCCTACAACCATTGGTTACGATAGTCACATGGACCCCAACCAAGTAGTCTGCATCTACCAACATGGCTCAGACTAGAAGTTAGTGTCTTCAAGCACTGATGCCATGTTTTGGTTTGGCCGCCCCTAACTTTCTTCCAACCATCTCCAATACCGGATAGCATTGCACGTCGTGGTAATCGGTGTTCAGGCATATGTACCACGTGGCCCAACCATCTCAGTCGATGAAGATTCACAACCTCATCGACTGATTTACCATCATTCCCTAATACCCTGCGTCTAACCTCACTATTACTTACCCGGTGATCCAAGTAGACGCCAGCAATATTTCTGAGGCATCTGTGGTCAAATACTAGTAGCTTGCGAGTGTCTTCTACTCTTAATGGCCATGTTTCACTGCCGCAAATTAAAACAGGACGGACTGCTGTATACTCGTTTTTTTATTGATAGACGGATATCTCGCCTTCGCCATAGGTGACGTAAGTTGGAAAAAGCCAATCGAGCTTTTCGAATCCGTGCTGAGATTTCGTCAGACACCAATCCATTATGGCTGATCATACATCCAAAATAAGTGAAGTTGTCAACGAGTTCGACTACTTCCCTTCCTATCCTTAGTTTAGGTGTTGACGCAGACCAGTCCTGAAGCAGCAGCTTGCATTTAGAGGGAGAGAAGCACATCCCAAACATTCTGGCATTGTTGCTTAGTGCTACCAAAGTACTCAGCATTTTATCAGCGTCTTCACCAAACAGGACTATATCGTCTGCGTATTCTAAGTCGATAAGCGGACCTCCTGGAAGGAGGTCAATACCTGAGAATTCAGTAGACGATAACCACCCTCATACCTCTAACAGCACTCAAGACCACTGTATTCATATATCAACTATCTAGACACCTTTCCAAAGACTTGGTGGACTAGATGGAACTAGACATATTACGTGCCTGTGCTCACGTGATGCTTCTGTGCTAGGCCACATGTGAAAGATTGTAAATCAGGTTCATTATTACATAACTCTGACTATATACTTTGTCATGGGCTCGGTTCATATGGCTTTATCGTAACCAGACATCTTTACACTCGCATACCAGGTTGTGCAAGTGTTTTGGGAGCATATGAGTCGGACAACAACAGAAAGTGACAGAGTCTGGTCATTGATTTTCAAAATTTGGATAAAACAACTTTGTTTGGGCAGGAAGTATTTAATTCACTGGAATAACTCAGGTAAGGTCGATTAAAATCAAAAGGCTGTTTCAGCTGCTTCAAATATGTTTAAAAGTGGTCGCACTATGATCGACCATTAATTTAAGTCACAAACGTACATTCAGGGTGATGAGTTCACCAATAATATTTAGCTAGAAAGTGCAAGAAATGACTTGTTCTGTACGATTGAACGAATAATATTTGCATCAAGCAATAAGAAAATACTTAATTCATACTTAACTACTAACATAAGAATAAAGAGATTGTTCAATGAATAATGATTTACTTATGAGTAGTACTTTTAAAGCGACTCAGAAAATCCATATGGAAAAAGAATTCTAGTAGATCAACTGGCAAATTTTTTAATAATAATAGTTTGACTGATGTTCAGTGCTATTTCATTGGTTCATGGTATACTCTTAGTCCGTGTACGACTACTAGTACAAATACCAGATCCTATTGATCCGAATTAGCCGGAAAAACCCGTTAGATTGTCTCACGTTTCGCCTTCTATCCTTACATACCTTTTATTTATCTGTACGCTTGCTGCATACCGTGAGCAACGACAGCCACAACTTAGTTCCCTACACAGAAGCAGACCTTTAGAAATAGATTGTAACGGACGAGCAAGCAGAATTCTCAATAATTACTCAGACATTAGCTCAGCAACTGAAGATTCGTCAGATTTACCATGTAAATTCATGACGTTTTAATGACCAGGATCCAGACTCCAGTTATCTGGTATGACTGATTATTACTGAAATATACATGTCAATCGTCGTATATAACTATCGACTTAACTCGCGTTAATGAGCAACGGAATTATATATTTCAAATACGAGAATGAATTTTGAATATGTATATTTCATGCGCTCGTTGATTTGAAAACAAAACGATGTGCAGTAGAGATATGTGGGCCAACTCCATTTTATCAAGCGATAATCAATATTTATAGTCACAAAAATAAGCTACAAATATGTTATGAGTAGGATAGACAATGCACACACATGCACTCATGTAGTGGCATTGGACAATAACCGCACAATCCACAAAGCTGAACACGAGACTACTCAGGAAATAGATATTCAATATTTAACGCGGATAAATACCTAACAATGGAGAAGGCGCGAAGAATGAATTGAATGGACTGAGTTGATCGAGTGGCATGGCTCAGCCATGCAGGCGTGGTCCCTGCTGGATGTTATCTTATATCTCCTATTCATATTAAATATATTGTTCTTTCTCTAGCTTAACCTTGTTCTATATCATGTATTGGTAATTGATACGATACAGTGAGTTGGTGTAGTCGATGGTGTGACTTCCACGTAAGATCTTATAGATTAGGCAGTTATATCATGACAAATCTACAATTTTAGGATAAGGTTTATTATTAGAGCAGTACTAATATCATAGTAGACCATAATTCTACATTGGTGAGCCCAACTAAAAAAACGCAACCCATTACTGTTAATCCTTATTTCCACCTTAACCTCAATCGGTTTTTATTTTTGTAAACCCAGTATTCGTATAGTCCTTTGATTAATGGTCACATATATTATCGTAATGTTATATCTATTAGTTCACATAACTTAATAGGTCAATCGATAATAAAAGTTCGTCATCTATATCAACTAATTAGCTTTGATGGTTCGTTAACAAGCTTTAATAGCATTTACATGCTTCAGCAACATAGACTTGTTTAAACATCAAGCTCTAGCAAATATGACCTGTAAATAGCGTAAATATACATTGACTAACAATACAATCAAGGACTGAATAGTTATCTGGATCTAATTCTCAATGTTTCTTCACTTAACACCTCATCCTGTTTTAAACTACGCACTATCCTGTAATATCTTTTCTTCCGACCACTGCCTGCCTAATTTCATATTCTCGAGTTCCATTGCCAAACAACAAGGATGACACTTCTCCGTAAAAAATACCGTGAGTTCCAGCTATAAGTTTTCTGCAATCATAAGTTCATTTTAGATGGCTCATTCAATGGCACACACAATTATCTGGATTCATTCAGTTGTTCTGATCAGAGCGAATCCCAAAAACCTCAACAGCATCAAGCACCCTGGAAGTGATTGCTATACTGCTTGTTTTATTCTGGATGCTTTTGGATCATTTCTACTCCTCACGAATGGCGTTATATATGTCGTCCACTGAATAATCTAATTTTCAAAAATAATCCAGGCGAGTTCAACTATTTTACTTAATGATTTTTTGTACTTAACATGTATATGCTTTCCAGCTGCTTTTGCCACATATTTGTAAGTGTCCCTAGGCTAAATGCAGTAACTTCTTATGGAATGTTTATAACGCGTTACATTCTTGCCTGAAGTTTCATAAGCAGTCTTGACTTTAAAATTACTTTTCCTGGTCATGTTCATCATTTTTAAATTTTTATATACGTCAACAACCTGCATGTTAACGTGGCCCGTACATACGTTACACTATATCTTCATATCTTTTGAATTTAGAAATCATCTGAATCGCCTTTAACATTTATCAATAAACCCATCATAGTCGTTGTTGCTAATCGTATTTAGGTTTATGGATTGGTTTATCGTATTAGCAGCCTAAAATGCGAACATAGTTTAGATAATAAGATTAAAAATTTAGGGACTATCAACTGCACTAGTATAATAACTAAACCCCTAGGTAGCTGTTGGCTAAACAAACGTTTAAAAT